TTCCACAACAAATGCTATGTAATTTTATTTTTATTTTTTTAATCAAATTAAAATCTGTGGATATATTTATTGGTTTTGGGTTTATACACATTATACAACCCTGTAATTTCAAATGAAGAAAAATGTATTTATTAATCTTTTGTAATGTTTATCTGATGTGCTTTTTTCTAAATTTCTGCATTTAATTCATAAAAAATAAAAGGATTTGTAGTTTAATAAAGTAAATATTTCTTCATTTTGCTTTGTTCAAAATTTGTATCACAACATTAAAGATCTTGTTTTATATGTGTATAATGTTTTTGTAAAAGTTCAGATTTGTACTTTACCTTACAGTAATAAATATAATTCACTAGATGGTGGGCTTTTAGACGTTATTACTGAAATCAGATTTTGCTGGTCTGCTCAAAGTATTAGCCAATTAAGCAAGTTTGTATTTCACATTTATGTTGATAATGTTTGACTTTTCCTCTAAGACATTGAAGTCAACTCTGATCAAACACATAAAATATCTGAGAAAACCTCTGATAACTGGTCCAATCATGCCTCTAACAGTAACAGGTTATGCATCACACTGATTGCTCCTAACCGAAGTTTAAAACAATTCCATAATCTATATCTGCTAAGAGAAAAAGCAGACGCATATGAAACTGAGTATAACTCTGTGCAGATGGCTCAGAGCCGTACTGCCAGGTAACCCAGAGGTCAGCAGTAAACAAGGAGAGATGATGATTGGAGAAAGACCCTCTATATAAAATGCATCCTCCACTGACAATTGACAATTCACAGAATTACAGACATCCTTTGAAAGCTAGGCTAACTTTCCTAATATATCTGCCTCTTTAAAATCATATTGTCATAATGTATTTTTAGAACTTTGTATTCTTTTCACCAACATAATAGATAGTTCAAAGTTTCACACAATAACACAGATTATCTTTTCCAGCTGTTTTCGGGTTTCATTTCATTTTTAGCCACTGAAATATTTTGTCTACTGGTCATGGCTGGAATAACAACTAGCAGTACTTCATTGTTTTTACAGTATTTTACAAAATTCTTGACTTTTGTTGTAATGTTGAAACTTCTCTGAGTTCTCTGAAATCTTCTCATTTTTATTTCTTAAAGCATAATGTCAACAAGAAGTGTCTGTCTTAACAAATGTGCRTTTTAAATGTAACAACAAATTCAAATGCAATGTCTGATCAAATTTAAACATTTCTCAATGAAAAAAGCATCAAAACTATTTTTGTGTTTGTGTGACTTTATCTCATAACTTTAATCAATGTCTAAAAGTTCTAATTAACGAAGAAAGGCAATTAGACTTTTTTACAAATTTTCCCAAAAATAGAAATTAAATTCTTTATTAAATTGTTAAACAGCCTTCAACATAAAATAAATATTTCTAAAGTTTTAACTTTTCTGCCTTAAGTTTTAATTACCAACACAGTTGTGGTGTTAAGAAGAAAACCTTAAAAAGAGATCTACAAGTATATGACAAATATAAACTTTCACAGACTTCTCACTTGGCAGGTTTCAGCTTCTAAACCCGAAGGAATGATCAAGGACAAAACTGTCCCACCCAATTTCATATTGATGTGCTGGCATGAGGTGTGTTATGATGTACTGGCTTGTTGTTGTTAAACTGCTTTGACAAAGAGGCATCCATTTTTAGGGGTGGCCAAAACTAACCAACTAACCAACTAAATCATCATCATCATCATCATCGATTATTTATAAAGCACAATAAAAACCAAAGTGCTGTACAGGAGCATAAAATAAAAACAATGAACAAAGTACAGTAATAAAATGAACAATAAAATCAAACAAAACAGCAAAGGCTGGCCTAATGATCCTGCTCTTCAGACTCAAATGCCTGTTTAAACAGATGAGTTTTTAACAGAGACTTAAACTCATTTAGAGACCCAGCAGACCTCACAGACAGTGGGAGRTTGTTCCAGAGCCGAGGTCCTGCAACTGAAAAGGCTCTGTCTCCCCTGGTCACAAGCCGAGACCTGGGAACAATTAAAAGCTTTTGATTTACAGATCTCAGGGATCTATTTGGAATGTGAGTAAATTTCTTTTCACTACCCCCACTGCCCCCCGCACAACTTTGTGGAGTCACCTGTTCAGCCAGGTTTAGAGCAGAGCAACAGCTTTAGACAGATTTAGAAATACCATCTTGAAGGGATTTCCTCAAGTTTTGAGGAGGGTCCCTATTTTATTTGCAAAAAAATGTAAAATATTTTTTTAAATCTCCTCCTGTCAGTTCTGCACCTGCTGTGTTTGTTGCTGAAAGTCATATTGAGGCTGTTCAGCGAGGACATGTGATCTGATGCAGAACAATGTAAATTGCTCAGACCTGTTGAACTGGATTGGCAGATTTGCGGTCGCCTGTAAATGACGATCCTTGCTCTATTATTCATACAGAAGATAGAGCACAAAGCATTATTTGCAACTAATGGATAAAATTGGAATAGGTGGGTGTGGTGCATTCTTGAAATAAAAGGACATTATGATTTGGTGACGCTGGCTGGTGCAGTTTGTGTCACTGTAAGGTAGACTTCTGTAAGACACACTGAAATAAAACCACCTCCCTTCTTCACACACTGCGATGAAGGAGCACTTACATAATGCAATATGGAAAATATAGACAGAGGAATTTAAAATGAAAACACAGAAATATGTCATGAGAAGGGACACTCATACATATACAAGAAATAATGCAGTAAAAGCATTATTATAATTTAAGCGCTCATACACAAATAATAAAACTCAATCTTCTACAAACAAAAACATTTTAATCAAATTATTTAGAGACTACTCAGATAAATTGGCAGTGGATTATAATTCAAATACATCTAATATAAATAGTAAATTACGGTACTATTTTGTACCTTTAATTAGAACTTTTAAAGGTACATTTTAGCACCAATGACTACTGAGAAAAGGTCAAACATTTATTGTTTTTGTACTCAGGAGTGTAGGAAATGTAAAATTCTTGAAGGCAAAAAACCCAAGTCCTTCTAATCAGTTCCTTTACCTTGATTTATAAAACTGTTTGATTAAAAATGACTCTTGTCTATTAGTGCTGACAGTGTAAGAAATCCAAACTAGACTTTTTATTACATTTACAAATTTAATGTGACAGTAGCTGAGTCATCCACAACATMTCCAAGCTAAGAGATCACACAAGCTCTTGCTTTAGAAACATGCTGCTCTTTCAATGTACATTTTACAAAATGTCAAGGATGGGGGTTTTGAGATTTTCTCCAAGTTCAATTGTGAATTGTTTTTTTTTTTTTGTTTTTTTTTTCCTGTTGCATTTGTAAGTTTTCATTTTGAGTAAAAGGGTGACTTCTTTGTTTTCATTGTTTTCATATTTCTTTGTTTTCATATTTCAGAAGTTTATTCATTTTAAACAAAATAAATGTTATATACAATAAAAAATATAAATCGTAAATAAAATGAAAGGCAGCAGAAAGAAGAAAAATCTTATAATATCTGCCCCTTTTTTGCAAAAAATAAATTCAAACATTAACGCTATACAAATAAACAATAACAGAATAACACTCGGCACTCGTGGTTTCTCAGAAAGTCTCAGCTGCATCTAATCCCTTTCAGCCAGTAATCATCCAAATTATTAGTCCTTCCAGTATCCAACCCCTGATTTATCTGTTCCTGTTTGTTGACTTTACAAGCATTTCCCATTTACCTGCTATTTTAATCCATTTCCTTATTGAAAGAATTTGAGGCACATTAGTTTTACACACGTCTGTTCTTATATTAAAAGCAAGTGTGTCACTTGTTCTATTGTAATTTCAATTGTTCCAAAGATGCACTTAATTTGTGAAAACTATCTGACTGATTTATGCTTTAATGATTCTGACTGGTAGAGTTTTGGTTGCCATGTTTTGCATTCCTCCCATGACACAGAGGGAGAAAAATGACTCTCACATACGCACACGATGTAGTGATGACTACGTAAGCTAATATGTAAAATGAGAATAAAAGAAGTAATATGGAATATGGTAAGAAATAAATCCTCATATAAAAAAATAATAAATTAGAACGCATTTCACCCACTGCCTTAGACAGAGAAATTTGAAACAAAGTGCTCTGAGTATGTATAGGGATGACTCTCAGCTACTATGATACAAACTTTTAAAATCAATCAGTTGTTTTCAGAGTTTTTATTATTTAATTTCATTTTGAGCTGATGCTTCATATTTCCACTGATACATTTCCAGCTCTTTTAGACTTTAACATTAATTTTGTTATTTATAGACTTTTTTACATTGCATTACATACTGAAATGACAGAATTGTGTAGCTGCTGACAGTGAAAAACAAGTGAAAAGCAGTCTCCCTGAACAGAAAAAACATTAGATGCTGTAAAAAAATAATTAAAACTAAACTAAATAATTAGATTTCTATTCTTTAGTTGAAGATGTTTTGTTTCTCATTTGTGGAGCTTTCTCATTTCCAACCTGAGGTGTGGAGTTTCATCTTTTTTAACTGTTAGTTGCTGCTCTGATCACATTGAATTTGTTAGCATAAAAATTAAAAAAAACTTTTATTTTCTTCATGAACAGTTTTTTTATGTTTTCTTTAATTAACAAAGCTGAATTATTGTCTGTTTTCTTTTCAAAATGTGAATTCAGTAATCTTTGTGAAAACATCCAAAAATGTTTTTAAGCTGAAATAGAATATTCCTTAAGCCACACAATAAGTTTATAACTTTAGTTGCTGTTTTCTTTATGTTGTGAATCATATTGTCAATGCTAAAAGAAATCCAATGAGAAAAATCTCCAAAATATGAAAGCAAAAAGATAATAAAACGTGTGAAGGTCATCTGGTTCTCCCCTGAAGAAAGAACCAGAAACGATGCCACAAATGGAACAAAAMCACTAAAGAGAAAGGTATCATCAGAAAATATTAAAAATACATTTTTTTAAAGCCAAAAGTCCACTATAATTAAATATTGACGTGTTTGAACAGGTGTGTTTGGGTGTGACATATCGTCAGGCTTCAAACTATGGAACAATGACATGGGAACACCCTGTCTGACGGTTCACCTGTAGTGTATAAAAACTGTGGAGAACCTCAGGAGTTTTAGTATCAGAAAAACAGAACCTGGCAGAACAGAACTGCAGAGCTCACCTGAACAACACGATGAAGGTGATCTTTTCRTTCGCTCTCCTCTGGACCATCACCAGCACAGGTAACATCACCTGTTAGGTTTCTATCAATTGTTGTAAATAGATGTATTTTTATTTATTATTGAGTAATAAATTGAAAATAAAGTCAGAAAATTTAACTTGTATTTTTTAGGTTTTAACTTTTTATGTGTATAATC